GCCCCCAGCCACCGGCCTACGTTAAGCGACCCCCCCCCCCCCCCCACTCTCTCTCGATCTCTTTTTCTAGGTAACTTGATTAATTTAGTTTGTGTTTTTGTTTTATAAGTAAAGATGACAAAGTTTTGTTATGAAAATATTTCAAACAATTAGAGACAAACAACACGAAATGCCGCTAGAAAAATGCTAGAGAGGAGCGCGTGACACGAGTGCTTAAGCATTAAATCATGAAAGATTTATAGACCCTAAATATATATATACTTATATATTATAGATGTGTATATTACATATAGATTATAATATCTATATCTAGTATATAATAATATTATATAAATCTATATAGTTTTGGATGAGACAAGTTTTATTAGTATTGGGAGTAGAGGAAAAAATATTAATGCCATATATGTATATAGGCTTTCCATATCTCTCATATAGAATTGCGACTTTTTAAGTATTCAAATTCTCTCGAGTCGTAATTCACAAATTTTGGGGTCATTGACAACAGTTTTGGAGTCACAAGGGCTGAAGCAACCGTTGTCAGACTGTGAACAGTCACATGTCGTGACACCACGTGAGACGCATCCAACTCGACTCAGCTCAGCACAGCTCAGGTTACATGACGAATGCACGGCCAGCCAGCAGCACTCGTTTGACAGGTTCACAATAGACAGCGATGATGAACAGGGTTGGGTTTTCAAGCAGTTGTTGTTATTGTTGTTGTGGTTGGTTCAGAGCATGATGTGGGCAGGCGAGAGGTGAGGGGCGGTGCTCGGTGGGAGGAAATTGAATGAACAAGTGCGCAATATTTAATTTGTATTCAGCCGCATTCTGTTATAGGATATACGATATACGATATATGATATACGATATAGTCCACACCAAATATTATATATGTATATGGGCGATAGCTGACAGATGAGCTTTGCGGCTTTGGGATCTTGGGGAGACAGGAAATGCCAAACAGTGGCGGCTGTTGCAAACGGAAGCCGATTAACAGTTAATTAGAGGAGTATCGCATGGCGAGTGGGAAATGGGAGGCGAGGCCAACCAACTGGGTTGCCTGACTGATTTATCGGCCTTCATATTGATTGATCTCCGTTCGCTTCGTTCACTTTGCAGAGTTGCCCGTGTGGAACTACGATGGCAGCTCCTGCTACCAGGCGGAGGGCAGCAACTCGGACACCTATCTGTATCCGGTGGCCATGTACAAGGATCCGTTCAGACGCGGCAACAACATCCTGGTCATGTGCGACACCTACAAGTACGATGGCACTCCGACGGCGACGAACAAGCGCAAGTCCTGCCTGGAGGTGGTCAACAAGTGCACGGCGGAGGAGCCCTGGTTTGGCATCGAGCAGGAGTACACGTTCCTCGACTTTGACGGCCATCCGCTCGGCTGGCCCAAGAACGGTTTCCCCGGACCCCAGGGCCCCTACTACTGCGGCGTGGGCGCCAACAAGGTGAGGATGTGTGTGTGTGCGTGTGTGCGTGTGCCGGGGACTAACTTTCCATGTCCGTGACAGGTCTATGCCCGCGACATTGTGGATGCGCATTATCGCGCCTGCCTGTACGCCGGCGTCAAGGTGTCCGGCACCAATGCGGAGGTGATGCCCGCCCAGTGGGAGTTCCAGGTGGGCCCCTGTCTGGGCATCTCCATCGGCGACGATCTGTGGATGGCGCGCTTCCTCTTGCATCGCATCTCCGAGGAGTTTGGCGTAAGTTCTCAAGCCACTGCTGCCCGCTCAGTCGGTATAGCCTTATTGTCTCCCCCTCCCTAGATTGTCGCCACTCTGGATCCCAAGCCCATGCCGGGCGACTGGAACGGTGCTGGCGCCCATACCAATGTGTCCACCAAGGCGATGCGCGAAGACGGCGGCCTCCAGGAGATCGAGAAGGCCGTGGCCAAGCTCTCCAAGTGCCACGAGCGTCACATTCGCGCCTACGATCCCAAGCAGGGCCAGGACAACGCCCGCCGTCTGACCGGCAAGCACGAGACGAGCTCGATCAACGACTTCAGCGCTGGCGTCGCCAACCGCGGCTGCAGCATACGCATTCCGCGCGGCGTCCACAGCGACGGCAAGGGCTACTTCGAGGATCGCCGGCCCAGCTCCAATTGCGATCCCTACTCCGTTGTGGAGGCCATATTGCGCACCATCTGCCTGGACGAGTAGAGCAGAGTATATGCACACTTTATAGCTTGGACCTGGACCCGGACCCGCCCACAAATCACGGCGGAGTAACCATATAGACGTAGCCATACACAATCAAAACTATATACCATATACTATATACTATATGTGTAACCAACGTAGCTTTTCCTACCATACGTTTTCTTTTTTTTTTTTTTTTGTCGACTTCTAAATGAATTACCATCTAAGCAGCTGTTAAAGATAACTCGATATATGTTTTTTTTTTGTTTTTTTTTTATTTGTATTTGTTCTTTTGTAATTGTTGAGCATTGTTGTTAGGTTATAGACATTAACGGAACACGTTGAAGAAGAAGAAGAAGAAGTTGAAGAATAATTAGGTTTAAAGCTGTGCGTCGATCGATCAATTATTGCCTGCTCAAGGGCCCGCAAAATTACCAAGTATACCCAAGAAGAAGAAGAAGAAGAAAATAAGAACACCCACCAAGCGCCCCAGACAAGAGGACATACATACATACATACATGTATACCGAAATAGACGAAGATGAAGAAGTAGGAGAAGCAGAAGACGAAGAGGAACAAAAGACGTCAATGGGGAATTAAAGCATAACTATTAATGATATTATTTTAACATTAAATACCACTACATACATACATATAAACACATACAAATTACACAAACACATACATACATACACACATATACTCCCTAGTTAAGTAAAATGCACGAAAATTATTGAAATATTTGCATTTTTATTGAAGGGATCTTGAGAGAATTATTCCGTGAATCAATTTCCAGCTCTACATCAATATCGGCAATTTGAGTCAAACATTGAAATCGAATTTCGCACGGACGCGTCAAGAGCAACAGCTGGCAAACAGGTATTGAAACCTTTTCGGAGATCTATTTTGAAGGTTTTATTTATACCAGTTCGAGCCAGCCATGAGCTCGGCTTCGTGAAACTGATATGATTACAATGAGATTTGCATAAACTAGTTTGCATCTTAATATGATTTCACGACACAAATTATAGTCAGATATTCTAAATACAATAAACGAGTCTTGGGCTCATTATTGATTTATAGCTAAACTTGACTTGAAAGTCTTGTAAATCAAGCAACATTGTGTGCGCAAACGAGTCTGAATATTCTCGTCGGGCATGCCCGACTGGCAAATGCCTTCCACTTGCATTCCATATAACCATCAAGATATCCATTTATATATAGTGATCCCATCCCCAAAAATAATAACGAGACAATCATAGTAATTTTGATTTTTCTACCATTTTATTTACTCGTATTTTTGTATATTCATGTGATTCATACTAAAATGTATACGCATCGTCTGTCCTCAAAGTTTCAGTGTTTTGTAAATTGTGTTTTACGAAGTGTTTGCATTTTGTTGTTTTAACAACGGTCCACAATATGTTTGATTAGTTATATAGCGTATAGCGTATATTCATATAGAGATATAAATATATACCACGGCATCTATGCACATAATATGTTTGCTTTTTTTTTAGTTATGTAAACGAGTACTAAATGTCTTCAACTTTATTCGGTATTTTTTTTTTTCGTTTTTCTTTTGTTTTTGCTTTTCTCTTTATATATAAATTTTGGAACAATTACAACACAATATTTCAATAGTATTCAACTACAAATGTATTTATCATTTACGCTTACTTAAACAAACGTTTTCATTAATTCAAAAATTCACTTCTTAAACATAGCTATTTATTTTTCTCAGTGTATTCTCTGTGTATGCGGTGTCTGTGTGTGTGTGTGTCTATGTGTGTGTGTTTGTGAACATGTGTCTCAAGTAACAATAAACAAAACAAAATTTTATCAAGTTAAAACAAAGGCAGAAAAACAGGAGAACAAAAGTCCATTAAAATTAATCTGTAAGCAATCTGATCATTGTCAATAGTATTTAAATGGAAGCTGATTAATTCGTATAATTCGTATTGTTTTTCTTTATTTCATTTTATATATATATATATATATATATATATATATGTTATATACCATATGTATATCTGTATGTATATGCGCTTGCAAATTAACATTTCGAGTAGTGCTCCTAACTGAACAATAGGTCAGGATCTCAGCGAGAGATCTCAGCTCGACATCTGAATGTTAAAGTTAACAGTTACTGAGTAACAGCAATGCGAGTGACACTGTTAAGTGCTACAGTCTTCGAGGCTTAACATGAGATTGTTAATGCTAACAGTAACTGTTATTTCCATCAATCAGGATAGGCAAAATACTACCCAAAATGGGGCAGTTGACTCAATATACATGTATATGTATATACATATGGTATATATATATGTTTTACAGATATGTTTGTCCTTTATTTATGCAATTTGTTTTCTATGTGAGCTTAACTTGATGTAAAATCTTTTTTTGTGTCAAAAACAATTTGAGTTAAAGTTAAGATTGAACATAAACGTAAAAGTAAAAGTAGAAGCAAAAGCCAAACTTAGTTTTAACAGATATATTACGTACATTTGCAGATCATACACATATCAATTGAATGTACGATAGTTATTGAATACATATGTTTAGATTTATTGTGCGCAATTAACTAATACGTTAAGTTTTTATCGAGATTTACGTGAATATACATACTTAACAGATCATTTACTAAAATGTTGTCCAATTTCATAATGAAATTCGAATTATAGAGAGAGAGAGATAGAGAGAGAGAGAGAGAGAGAGAGAGGAATGTGCACTCTGAAAATACAAACGGCATTTGAATTGAGAATGTTAATACTGAAAAAGGAACTTTAGATGACCTATTGGAATTTGAGCTCTATCGAGCAGCAACGTTAAGTCTCTCTAGCTTTGATTTGGGAAATGTTCTAGTTTGGCACCTTCAATTGTAAATAAATTTTGTGACATTAGTTGAATAGATCTAGAGTTTAACAGAGAGATAGACAATTGGTACAACATCTTAATAAATGTCCATGTCTATATGTATGCATACTGATTGAATATTTGTGACACTCAGTTTATATTTAACTAGAACTATATAAGTAGATGGATATTCATATGGTCTTGTCATGAAGTGCAAATCAATGGAAGCGCGTTAGAATACAATACGGTAAATTACATAAAATAGATGACTTTAGTTGTACAATGTTTAACAAAAATGAAACAAAAAAAAAAAAAAAACAAATGAAAAAATGTATATATATAAATTTAAAAAAAAAGTATTTATAAATCAATGCTTAGGAATTAATAAAAACATATGCATGTGTATAAATTATACAATATAAATTGAATTAATTATTGCACTTGGAAAACAGCTCGAACTTAAATACACATATTCATAAAATTTGCTGAATTTTGTTTCTGCAATTGCAATTGCAAGTGCATTTCTCTTGTTGTTTTTTGCTTCTTCTAGTTTAAGTTTGACATGCTGGCAAAAGTCTATGGATCGCAGATCCATTTCCATTGCAGCTGTACGTAAGTAATTGATGCGCTTTATACATAAATCAATATCAATATATATTCATAGCATAGATATAGCTATTGATTATGTGTGTGTGTGTGTCTCTGTTTGTGTGTGTGTGCTCGTATATATCATATCGACTACTTCGTTAAAGGGCATTAACCGAATATCGTATTTGGAATATCGTAAGTTATTGGAGTCTTGCAATTCATTGCAGATCTCGAGGTTCTGGTTCGTACTATTTGAAATAGTTAAGGGTTTTTATCTTTTTTTTTTCGTTTTTTTGTTTTTTTTTTTTTTGTTTGAAATAACATTTTGGCAACGCTTGTTACATGTTTGAACATTATTAAAAACTTTCTTGGGATGATTTTCGCACTTCGTTATCGTAAAAGTTGATCTATAAATTGTTTGGGTATTATGCTTGCTATATAATTTTAGAATAGAATTACAATGGGTATTTCTATTGTATTTCTTGTATTGTTTTTTTGTGTGTGCAAACATTTGATATTATTGATAAAATAGGTATTATGTCAAACTTATTTTACTACACGATGAGGAGTTACAAATTCGTTTTAGACATGTGTGTGTGTGTGTGTGTGTTAGTGTATGTGTGTTTACAAAATATCAGCAATATCATTCTACACGTATATAGGCTTTAAGAGGTAAACAATATAAAATACAAATAAAAAACTATTTCGTTCTAAACTCGGTTAAAACTCACATAATTTTTTCGTTTGTTTGTTTGTTTTTTTTTTTTTTTTTTTGTTTTTTTTTTTTTTTTTTCGTTTTTTTTTTTTTTTTTTTTTTTTTTTGTGATTTTTTCTTCTTCTTTTCTCTCAATTTAAAACTTACATTAAAAGTGTAGGTTACATAAAATCCATCATTTGCTTTATAATAATGTGTGCATATAAATATGTATATATATTAAAAAATATATATTTAAATATTTATATATACTGTGACAAAAAATATATATAAAAAAAAAAACTATACATATCAATAAATAAATATTACTTTTCGTTTTTAACATAACAGCGAAAATTCCTTATATAAATACATACAATAAAATTGGAAAGCAATAATCATAATATTAATAATAATTGTTTAAAACATATTTTATAAATAGTATTTGTGTTTTTTTTTTTTTTTTTCATTCTTTTTTTGTTTTGTTTTTTCATTGAATTTTTACTAATCATATATATTTTATTGACAATCGACGCACCACAGCTGCGACCTTGTGACAGAAATTACATAGTCTCTATGTATTCCACATGCATACATCAGCCAATAATATGTATATACATATGTGTGTATATATATATGTATATAGAGTGATCCATATAGCCATCATCATATATATATATATATATGTATATGCATATATGTAAATATAATCGCTATCCGCACTGTGTAAGACGCCAACGGCTTTATATATTATGTGGATAGCTCCGTGCTCCCGCGTCGCACCATGTTGAGGTCACTGAAGTCGATCTCGGTTGATTCGATGGATTGTATGGAGGCGCTGCGCAGCTTGTGGCCTGGAAATTTGCCACGACTTTTCAGTGCGGTCAACTGCAGCAGGAAATGATGTTGGCCAAGTTAGTTACGATTGCATTGATGAATTATATATTTGGATTGAGCGTGCATTACGTATACGTATTTTACTAGTACTAATACTAGTAGTAGTAGTAGTAGTAGTAGTAGTGTGTGTATGTATGTGTGTATATCTGTGTTAGTGTGCGTACTTAATCATTAAGCAAGCCAAGTACAGAGCTCTATCAAATACCAACTACAAATTATTTATATATTATTTATATACACAAGTTTCTCAAAGACAAAAAATTTACAAATAAATCAAATTTGAATCAAATGAAAAACAATGAAAATGAAAAAATTTTCATAAATGCAAAAATATATTTAAAATTAATTTCATTTTCACACATGCAAATATTAAACGATATTTTTGTTTGTTGGTTTGTGTCTTTGCTAAGCGCAGAGCTTTGCTACTTTACGATATTGGCAGGAAAAAACAAGCAGTACTAAATGATAGCAATGTGATATAGTGAAACGTGGCTAAAGTGTCTACAGCACGCAGGGCGGGCATATATATATATGTATAGATGTATTACAAATGATAGTGCATAAAAATGCGAGATTTTCTTTATTATAATTATAGTACAGTTTTTACTTAATAACATATAAAATGGTTTTGAATAAATATGATGCGAGCTCTCAGAATAAATAGTAAAATTTTCTTATAAACAATAATAATATATATGTATAGCATGCAATTAGACCAATTCCCGTTAAATAATATGAAATCAAAGAGCGCATGCTTTGCTCGGTAATAAAAGTATATATGTATATAGAAATATGTTCATATATTATATAGGGATAGAGAGCAGGCAGATGCAGAGGTAACGCTAAATACATGCCAAATTGTTATACAAATTTCGGAATATGAACATGATGCAAATACCAAACAATCGACAACAAAGTCTATGATCTAACAGGCGCTTAGATCGTAGCTATACAGAATACTAATGCTAATCTAGGATTGGGATAATGAGTTCGTTCTTCAACAGAGTTATATGTATAGACACCTGATTTGCACATTTGGTCGTTTGCTGTTAAGCTGTTGAAGTCGATTTGGGTTTTAACTGGAATGTGGGAGTAGATGCTTTTTTGGTATTTGACGACGATGCTTTGCTGAATATTTGTTTTAGTTTTAGTTTTGGTTAGCACTTTATATATATTCGATTAGCTTAGCTTATCCATTTCCACGGCTCAGTGTCGGGGCTGGTTATTGGCGTTGGATACTAGAGACGCAGCATTGCGTTGCGTGCGATATATATTTGTTTTTTTTTTTTATGATATGAGAAAGAGATTTAAATGAGAAACATACGATATTAATATCTTCAGCTGTACCAAAGTACCAGAAACTCAAAAGATATCTTTGAAAATTACAAACACAAAAATGAAAGTAAAACGCACGTATACAAAATATAAAAGCGAATGCCACACCAAAGCTTATGGGTTGATAAGCAATTAGCATGAGCGGAAACACAGTCCTGAATGGTGTTCTTTTTTTTTTTTTTTTCTTTCTCTCTGCTTGTCTTTAGTGTTTAGCTGCTGGCCAATGCAGCGCCAATTGATTGGCCTTTGCGTAGGCGCTCAAAGTGCATATGTGAGTGTATGTGTGTGTGCATGTGTGATTATTAGTGTATGTGTGTGTGTGAGTGCAGCTGTTGCTTGGCGCTTTTAATTGGCATTTTTGGATGGGTTTTTGTGGGTGCGCAGAATATTAGAGGCCCGAAACCGAAAATAAACAGCAAATGGTATCCAAGTAAATAGCTTTGCTGGACCCATCGCCAATACACACCTCCGCCTTCATGTCAGCCAACCTGTCCTGCAGGTCGCGCACTTTATCCGAATCATCGAGATTGGCGCGCAGCTCACCCTCGGCCAGCATTTCCGAATTCTGAAAGCGATGCGAATCTCGTTAATCTCGAGGGCAGAGCTACGCTAAATTTCATGGACTCACCTTTGTCTCCAGTCGTGAAATCTCCTGCTTCAGTTCGGCGACCGTTTGGCTCTGTTCGGTGAACTTGATTTTGACATTCATGAGCTCATCCTTCATGCGAGATTCCAGATCCGAGTATCTATAGAAAGTCCACAAGTTACTAACTGAATAACCTGATTTACCGCAATGGAACGCACCTGTGCTGCTGCTCGCGCGCCTTGTTGGCCAGTTCCTTTTCGCGTGTGACAGCCAGCTCGAGCTCCTCCTTGAGCTTCTTCTGCTCCTCGTCCTGACGCCGCAGCTGATTTGTGGAAACCTGCACCTGAGTCTCCAGCTCCATGACCTTCAGGCGCAGCTCCTTCAGCTCGGTGAGCGTTTCCATTTCACGTATGCGCGTCGTCATCAGCTCCTCCTCGAGCTTCTGCGTGTGCTCCGTCGACTTGGAGTTGTCGAAAAAGTTGGTCAACAGCTTTTTGGGTGTGGAGTCCACGGAGGCGGCGCTATGCTCGTTGCGCTGATTCTCGGCCAGCTGGCGCTGCCATTGGCTGCTCAGCTCCTGCACCCGCTGCTTGAGATCCTTGAGGGATAGCGAGGCCTCCGCCTCGCGCAACTTGCTCGCTATCAACTCGTCCTGCAGATGGGCCACCGAATTGTCGGGCGTTGTTTCGCGCAGCGTCTTCTTATCCTCCTCGAGCTCCTCGATCTTCGACTTGAGCGTTCGTATCTGATCCTCGCTCTCCGCCGAGCCCTGCCGCACCTTGACCAGCTCCTCGAGCAAACAGGAGACCATCTCGTCGCGCTGCTTCAACGCCTCCTCCTTCATGCACAGCTCGTCAATGGACGACTGCCGCGAGTTATTCTAAATGGCGAAAAGTCTGGCTTTAGCAAAACTCTCACAAAGGGCGCGCATCAATGTTTGCAAGCATGCGACAGCTTGAAAGCTATCGGAGAATCGATCGATGACATATCGATAGCGATAGCTCTAGATCTGATTAGGCTTAATCTACTTAGAATACATGAGCACATGATGTTAACTGTGTTATTTTGTGTTGTATTATCTACGCACGTGAGCGAATGAATCGTTAGTCAAGATCTAATTACTTATCAAAAGAAACATGGGAATGATAACAAACATGCAAAGTAATGCTACGTAATGCCCATATTTTGGCATGGAGGCCCAAGCACGACATGTGCATATATGTATGTACATATATACACCTGTCTGTATATACATTTTGGCAAGCTGAGATACTTACGCTATCGATCGAAACGTTCTGCTCGACGTTGGCAGCAAATTTCATGGAATTTTTTAAATTTTTTTTTTAAGCATTCGGATTACCATTTGTAGTTTTTAGTTATTTTTGATTTTGACATATTTGTTTGATATATATATATATATGCATGTTTTATAAGCACCACAACCACAAGAAATAAACAGAATGGAAAAAGAAAGACAGAAATGATTAACAAACGTATATCTAGAGATTTAGCACGATAATTCTGATAATTCAGTTTAGCACTATTTTCTCTTCACATTTTCTTCAGTTTTCTGCACGTTTTTAGTTACAAAACAATCGAGAATAGTGTTAAATGCGTTGCGCTCTTGTACAACACTTACGTTCTCCTGTAGCCGCAGGCTGAGGCCGCGCACCTCCTCGTTGGCATTCTCCAGCTGATGCGAGACCTCCAGATAGGAGCGTCGCAGCTGCATCAGTTCCGTTTGAATGGCGTAGCTAAGCAATGGACAAAAGATTAGTTACATCAGAAGGGTGAGAGAGAAAGAGAGATGGAGTGTGAAGTTCAAGTACCTCGTCTCCTCCTCTTCGGCACGTGAGACTTGGCCGCGCACCAGACGATCGGCCAGCTCGGCACTCTCGGCCTCGAGCAGCTCGTTGCGCTGCTTGAGCAGACAATTCTCGCGGCGCAGCCGCCGCAGCTCGACCATCTCCTCCTGCTCCTTTTTCTTCAAGTCTTGATACTCTTTCTCCATTTTCTTCATGCGCTTCGTGTTCAGCTTCTGCGCATAGGCCAAGTTGAAGAAGCCCTCCGGATCGGCCTCGACGCGGCCGGGCAGCTCCTTCTGGAAGAACTTCAGCATGGCCTCCATGTCGAGGGACAGCAGCGCCTCCTTGCCGGTGAGCAGCAGGGCCAGCGCCACCTTGAAAATGAACTCCATGCCCTCGCTGAGGAAGACGTCCATAATGCGGCAGCTGAGGTTCACGTTCAGTGTGGTCGTGTACAGTGTGAGGAACCAGCTGGACGCGTACATGGTCGTCTGGAAGCCCTGCAGCTGGAAATGTAGGTGCATATCGGGTATCTGCTCCTGCACCAGATTCTCCAGCTGGTACATGCACAGGCCCAGCTCGGACATCGATGGCTTGAACATGTGCCGCATGCGATGCTGCTGCATGATCTGCACCAGAACAGCGAACGCCTCCTCCTCGGGCATCTGCATCAGCAGCAGGCCGACAATGAAGCCAGAGCCCTGACAGTAGCCGACCTCACGATCGTGCAGCGAATACGCTTTGATCACATTGAACAGGGCCTCCTGGCCGGGTCCGTCCTTCTCCTTGAAGAAGTCCACCTCCGGATAGGTGCGCGCTATATCACGTCGAATCACCTTCTCGCACGCCGACGTCGCCTTTATGTACTCCGCATACTGTTTCTTATCGGCGTCGGCCGCGCCGCTCAGCTGCTGCCACACGATGGCACGAAAATGATGCGGAATACCACGGCGCACCAGTTCGCGCACGCACGGATTCTTGCGCTTCAGCGCCCCATCCCAGTCGTTCAGAATGGAGGCCCATGTCGTCCAGATGTCCTCCTCGGCGACCGAATTGCCGCCTGTAAAAATGATCGAAAGCCACATTACAAACACACATACATATGTACATCAATACAACAGCTGACACACATAGAGAGTGTACTGAGATTCGAGTCTTACTTACTTGATGTCAGGCTGATCTGGCTCGTGTCCGAGTTCTTGCGACTGTGCGTTGAGTGCAACGAATTGAGACTTTTGGCATCGCTCTCGATTAGCTTGTTGGCCGCCTCCAGCTTGGCCAGCAGATCCATTTCAGATGTGGGCAGATTCTCGTCTCCTGGGGCATTCACTTCCATTTTCTTGTTGCTCTCCGGTGGCGTTGCCGTTGCGGTCAGTGTCATCTCTATATGACGGGTCTGACACAACCGACTCGTATCGAAGATGTGCTTGTGTGCTCTCTATTTGTCTCTCTCTCTCTCTCTCTCTCTTTCACTCTACTTATGTTGATGTTTTGGTTTCTCAAAGTTTCTGTTGTTGTTGTTGCTGTTGTTGCTGTTGTTGCTGATGGCGCTTGAGCAGTTATTCCCGCGGGCTGATCTCAACGATAGCTCTCTGAATGCATAGCTAGGCCCAGCTCAGCTCAGCTCATCGTCGCGTCTCTCGCTTCGCACTGCAATCGATAGCAATGGGATAATTCATAATTAATAATTAATAATGATAGTCGTAATTGTGGGCGGGTGTTATCATTCGCCTTTTCGGGTCTTAACGGTGCTCATGCTCGAACTCAATGGAATTGACAACTTAAGTGCGCAAAGACTTATCGAAACACCAGACTGACAGACGTCAAGCACAACTGACTCTGCGATGGGGAAGCCAAGACAGTATGTGAGCCACATTCACACTCACACACACACACTCGCACTCACATTTCGTTTAATGTTTGTATTTGTATTGTTTATAAGTCGTGCGGCCCCAAAAAAGAAATGGATCAAAACAAAACAGAAAAACCAGTCTGGGCCAGTCCCTACTATCAACAACTGTATATACACATACATACATACATACGCACATACACACATATATATGCATACATATAACATTATCTAAATATTTCAGCCGAACGGATGCACTCGGCTCGTCGTGTGGAGCACGGGTGGAACGGGTGGACGATCGTAGGGCGCACGCGTCTCGTGCCTCGTCCCTGACCGCATTGCCAATGGCCGTACTGGGGCCAGATAAGCGCGAATCAAGCTGCGAATTATATAACCACGATATTTAAACAGATAATATGTATATTAGATATATGACATGTGCTACAACTGCTATGCATCCAGAAAGTTAAAGCTGCGAATTCCACTCCTCTTAACACATATATTTGGAGTTGGATTTTATACTCGTTCACAGGTTGAAGAGGGAATATCATATATGTATTATATTATATTATATAGAGAAAATATTCATATGTCATTTTATATCATATATTATATATGTATGTATACATTGTTTTTTACTTTATACTATTATTATTATGGTATTTCATAAATCTTTATTAATTATATATTCTTTACGAGTTACAGAGAGAATATCAGATCTTATTTTATATTATCCATATATTATACAAACTTTATTTATTACATTATATGATTATTATTGTTGTATTTGATCTATCTTTATTATTTTGTATCTTTATTATGGCTCAATATACGTACTATGCGTCCGTCTGATCAGAAATTCGCATTTCTCTCCGTAGAACTGTTGCCTCTTTTAAAGCTGAAGAATTTTAATCTAAAGCATGTAGTCGTTGTTATCCTAATCATATAAATTCTAAAGATTTAGACGATAGGTTCACTAAAAAAAAAATACTATATCTAATATAACAGTCATGTGAATATTCAGGGAATTCAGGAATATTCAGGAAATTCGGAAATTCGCATAGACAGCACAAGAGCAATTCTATATAGCATATTTATATATATAGATACGCTTATTATAGTCGTGTCTAATCTATATACATATAGGCATGCATATGTATGTATATACTGTAAGATATTTATAAGTTATAGCAATAAGAGTACCTAAAATTATGGAACTCTTTTCAGATCATCAACCAGTATTATACAGATTATGCAGATTTGCGGATTGAAGGATTTATTAATAAATAAATAAGAATATAATAAATAATTAAAATACACATATCTAATAATTAAGCTCTTGATTAAAACTAGATCAGTTTAATAAAAGCTTTTATATAGCATGATCAATCAAATTTAAATTTACTTTTATCCTAATTCAAGTTTTCACATTCACCCAAACTCCTTTTAAACTACCCTCGCATATATGTATGTATGTATCCCCAGTTTGAAAGCCATTGCGTTTAAGCTCTTATCAGCTTAGAATTTCGCTTATCAAATAAGTGTGCTTGGAACAGGCTAGAGAGGGAGAGAGGGAGAGAGGGAGAGAGAGAGAGAGAGAGAGAGAGAGAGAGTCCCTTAA